AAGGCAAGTTCCTGAGATCGCATTCCACATATCTGTGTTCGGGGCAGCGAACAGCAGTTCGAAGCAGTCACGATCTCTTGCCGCGGTCAGCGTAATGGTTTTGTCCTTAGTAAACATCTTCAAAAAACGAACCAAGGAACGCAGCTGGAGTGGGACGCACTGTAGCCTCCGCATGCACGAATCGGATGAAGGTGGCAGCAACGTCATCGAATACTGCTGTGCAGGCGGAACGTTGGACTTGGGTGAATCCAAACTCCGATATTAGGACAGCGGCCCACTCTTGTTGGTGGCCCCGCCCGCATATCAAATTCAAATTCGACGGGCAGGGAAGTTCGGCCCCCATGGACAGGACCGCGAGTGATACGGAGCCGACGATCCAACTTTGTAGACGGTCAAGTGTTGCCCAAAACGAAGCCAAGGAGCGGCGGGTTCGGAAGAAGGGTTGGATGTATCGATGAACACGGCGTTCAAACAGATCACAGGCATTCCTTCGAGCTGAACGTGACGTGCTCCGGTACGCTAGGACATCCAATAGAGGAAGATAACACAGCACAGTGCAGACCAACTCTGCGGACGAGAAAAACCGGCGACACTGTTCGCGTTGAAGGAGGAGTGGAGGAGTGACAAGAGAGCATGTGCGAGAAGACACAGGGACTGAACGCGACCAAGCGGGACGCTGTCGTTTGGTACGCGACTGAGGTGCCATCTAGAGTTGGAGGGCGGCAAAAACAAACTCTCGGGACTTTAAGGGCATATATATTGCGTGCGTTTGTATAAGAATACCAAGCTCCCTGACTAGTCGTCCTTGTCTCTGCCTACCAATCCGCCGCTTATCACGCTGTTATAAATCAGATATTGTTTACTAAGGGATCGAGGTCATGATACCTCTTAACAATCGCCTTTACGAGGACGGTGTCTTCTCGAGTGACATTTATGATAGGGTTGCCGGCTCTTTTGCCGTGCTTGAACACCATTACATTGCCGCGCCACCGGCGCTGCATGTGCGGCAACGAACCGCTGATCAGATAGTTTATGGGGACCCCATGGAGCTCCGCAGATTGTTGAGATACAACTAGGACGCTGTACGCATGGTCTAAAGTCGACGGTGCGCCTAAAGGGAACCGTTCCACTCGTATAACGTTCAGAGAGAGATCGACATGAGCCGGAGGGTTAATTGCTGCACTATCGAACCAAGCATGCGTGTCCAGGTCGGCGACCGAATATGCTTTCGTAACACCGACAGTGGCTGGTACACGAATTCTGCACTGTGAAGTACGCTCGCCGTGGGGAAGAAGCCATGCTCCGTGCATGGTGACGGAAACTTGGGGGTTTACGCCTGCGGAGAATTGTTGTTAACGCGTACACACAACATACCTGCAGTCCTTATAATCCGAAAGTGCGGCTCAGCATGTGTAATCAACCATCGCCTTACTCATGCAAGATAATTACAACCGATCTCTCTAAGCTACGTTACAAATACGATGATCAATACATCGACTAGTTAGCAGGCCGGCGTTCCTGCATTGCTGATAACATCACGGTTGAATATTACGCATGGCGTGCCCGGACAGCCCCTGACTTGCCCTCAAGCTTTTCCACGTACCGCTTGTGACATTGGGTTAGAGAAGGGCAAATATTCGCGCTTAAGTAGCCGGGTTTGATGATAATAGAGTGGAGGCCATATCGGCGCTCAGCGCTGCGGGGGATAAGCGACGATTCAGATAATTGCAGCCATCTTACCCCAATAAACGTCTTGCCCTGCCATAGGAAGCGGTCCCTCGCATGTCGCACAACAGGACCTTCCCAACAACCAACTAGAGCCAGAACGAGGCTCCCAATGCTCCTCGTTCCCTCTCGCCATCGAAGGCAATGAGCGAAACCGCAAGATGAGGCATCCTTCGTCTTGGAAAGTTCGGAAAGATACTGGGCAAGAAACTGTCCTCCCACATCGGTGTGTTGTTGGGAAATCTACAGCGAACCGAAATCCCTGCTCGACAGTCCGACGTAGAGTGCGATCGAACCGATCTTTGTGCTCGGCCGAGTCCAGGGGCAGGCGCAGTGCGGATGACATGGATACACCTGCCAGTGTTGTTTCAGCATAACCGTGCCAGACATGTTCCAGCGACCAAGCCGCAAACTGCGTTGTGAGGGGCGACAAAACGATGCTATCCAGCGGCGTACTAGAATGGCTTTCGAATACGCGAATAGGTCGTGCGCCTTCTTCGTCGGCCCTGAGGGCCCAAGCATGTGCGACGCGCGACCTCGGGGCCACTCGGAGGTCCGATATGTGCTGATAACCAGAGCGCAATTGCAGGTAGTGGTAGGTGAGAAAACCATGACCGTTCGGGCAGAAGACGTCCAATCCTCGAGGCTCCCCGCCCGTGCAGGGGTGGATGATGTTCGTCACGACGGAGCCAGATATAAGGCGAGTTGCAGAAATTGAACTTGGCCAAATGTGAGCCGAAATGGTTTCAAGGCGCGGCTACAAACGATCTGCAGATTATCCGCCAGGACATCCCGATAATATCGGCACGTCCGAGCCAGCGCAATCCGCCCGCGCACGGGCAGAGCGGTTATAATTTCGATGACTAGTTCCGCGGGTAAGGAGGTTAGATAACAGCGCGACGCAAAACGATCTGTGCAAACACGGTAAGACGCGTCGCGAAAGCGCGGATTAGCATACATGCAACGCCTCCTTCTGCCATCCGCATCGTCGCTCCATTTTGAGTAGATACGAAGTTGCAGACTTTGGCAAAGTGACCCGGATTGAGGAGCCCTTCGCGGAGGAGATCGATCGTCGAAAACGTTGACAAGGCCAAGGCCCAGCTCTCCGCACAAGCACCCGCGGGCAGCGAAGCCTCGAACCGAGACCATTCTAGAGGATCCAACGCACAAGGCATGAGAGAAACAAGTATTGTGTGGCCGAGCGGTGTCGAAGGGATATCCGATCGGGAGACATCATTTAAACAGTGCCAGACCAAATGATACTACTCCCACCACTGGGTAAGAAGTAAGCAGCAGATTAGCAATGTCAGGAAATTTTACCAAGCAGAAACGGGAAAATGATTTGACGACGCGGACCCATCTGATGGCGCGGGTCCGGAGATGCTAACCGTCAGATCCAGATCTGTCCGCTGTTTATGAACCATGCTGACAGAGGCTGACGCACCACAGCGGACCGTGCAGTCTCGGTAGCAGTTAGAGCCCGAACGTCGGGTCAGATTCCAACGTGTAATGCTACCTAGTACCTACCTCCCTATACCAACGTCCCGAACCTGCTGTTTATAGTTCGAGCTTTCGAAAAGGACCCCACCTAGCTGTCATATGTCGCAGCGCTACCGGTTCCACTCCCGGGTCAGTCTTGGGCTGATTTGCGTTAGGTTTTCAGTCGTGACGCACAACTCTTGTTTCCCTCGTCAAGCATAATAGCTATAGGCTCCCTCGAAAACATTACACTGAGATGCAAGACGATGTGTTTGTTTGCCCATAAAACCAAGTTACGAACAGTCAACATGCAAGTCGGCATCCAGTGCTATCCAGCGGGCCTGGACCAAGGAAGGTAGAGAAGAAACCTACACAAAAGAATGCCCAGCACGGGAACCGAAAACCTTAACTGGTTGGAACAGATCATCAATCACTCGATCAAACTCAGCTAGGCATGTTCCTTTTCCTTCCACGTAAAGTTGAGCACAAAATATTAGTGGTTCTCCCGGTTTGACGACGAAACCTGCTGCAACCAAGCAGTTCTAAACAATTCGGCACAGCGCGCAGCACAACGCCACTCAATCGTGATCACCTCAAAACTGACCAGACCAACCTGTGAAACCAGTGCGATTCATGACCCAACCGTGGTATTTCGTCCGCAGTGTCTTCACCGACAACCTGTAAACTTTCGAATGGTCGGTCGTTAGAATACATTCTTACGTTGAGAACAGCCGTTTTGCCCTCGTATGCAGCGAGGGGTCTATCATCGGTTCCCCTGTCTTCAAGCTCAAAGCTGCGCGTACGCTCGTGGCAGCACTAAAATATTTGCGCAAGGAAGTCGAGTTCAGCCCGCACTTCCACAGGAATGGTACAAACAGGAAGGACATAGTGTTGATAGTTGGGCAGCGAGTGTTTCAGTCCAGGTACGTGACGCCGATTGATCGCTCTCTGTTCACCAACCACGCGTTAGTTGCATCGAGGAGGCAGAAGAGTACTATGATCGACACCGGCACTGCCTGTTCATGGACCCCTACCCATGCATGGGTGCCGCGATCGACGCAAGCCACATGCCTACGTTGTTCCCTACGGGGACCCACCCGGACAGATACGACCTTTGGAGCCAAGCGCCTGTCAAAGGCACCCAGTGGTATTACGTCGGGGGACGGTTCACACACGACCTGTGCGATTAACAGCTTCTCATTTGCACCGTATCATTGACATACTACAAGAGACTACGCCCTCGAGCTCAGCGAGTCTGGCATCAACGAATGGCCCGCTATCGACGTCCTAGTGGCTCGAAATTTTCTCACGGCGGTCAAGTACCTAGCAGAAGAAAAAGACTTCGTGGGTGCGTTTGAGACAGACGCCCACGATAACACAACACAGGTTCAGCCGATATATTTCGTCGTTGGCTGCCATGTCCTTGACTCCCCGTGAGTTTCCGGCACCAACTTCCACTGCGTTTGCATTTACGCTGGGGCAATTCAGTGTGGACGCTGAAAGGCAGTACTGGAATTCTCTGGACATGACCATAGAGCCATATCCATCAAGAGAGAAGGCCGTCCCTCGGAGCATGTACAAAACGGTCGTTTACGGCGAAGCACTTGTCGAAAACTACTGAAGTCTCAAATATGTGAACGCCCATTTGACCTTAGCTATACCTATAGAACGGAAGCGATTACGTTTCCTCGCTCAACATGATACGCACAAACGCTCCTAACACCACGGTCCACACACGAAGTGCCGATCCCTCACCAATGATTGGGTCAAAAAAGTAACTTGGAAATAAATGCCCATGACCCGACCCTGAATCGAACAGGGATCCTCGCGGGAAAAGCAGAAGTGTTCTCTTACGGGTGTGCGATGCGATACCAGATACGCCATCGGGTCGCGTAGAAGGGACGTTCGGGACCACTTCCGCTTCCATCCGGTATCCGGGGCAGCTTCATTGGCGCACATTTTTTGAACAGTACCCACGTAGAGTTGAAATCAGGAGTTCGAACCCACACCGGAAAGTTGTCACGTCACGCGTCACACTTTCCGGTTTGCTCTGGGGGAATGGCTTCCCCCAGACCCCCTCCTTCTTCGCTGGCGCTGCCTTTTCCGCTGGCGCGGGGCCGCTTTCGCTCCGCTAAGTTTTCGCTGCCGCTAGCTTTTTCCGCTGCCGCGGGGCCATTTTTTTCTTCACCTTTTTACGTTGTCCATGTATTCAACTTGCAAAATTGAACCGGACGGCTGGGGTAACCCCAGACCCCGACCGCTGGGCGCGGGGCCTTCCGCTCGCCGCGGGGCCCACTGCGTGGGGCTGGCGCTCGCCGCGAGGCCGACTGCGTCGTGCCCGAAAAAATCGGACGCTGACAGAGTCGAACGCTTGACCTCCGCAAAAACTCAACCACTTGGACGCCTTCATAGTACGGCATGTTGCCGATGATTGCTCTGGTAATAATGCTGACCTCATCAAGCGGAAGGGGCTGTCACGGTCACGCGTGGCCACTTTCCGGTGTGAGTCCAAATTCCTTGAAATCACCAGCGTCATACGTTGCTCTCGTCTGACACGCACAACGTACACCTTACCTGAAGTTAAAACATATGCAAAACCAGCGAATCGTTCGCCCGCGCAAGATGGATCCACGAGGTCCATAGATTGCCGGATGTCCACCGGGAAAGTCTCAACCGCGGTGTTTGGTCATGCTTGCATCGCTGAAACGCGTCACATTACCACGTGCGGCTGTGATGCCACATCTTGACTCTTGAGGGTGCGGCCTAAGAGCACGCAAAGGCCAGTCCATGTGGACGTGCGAATGGGTGCGCCTTTTCACGGAGAGGCGTGATCGCGTATCGAACTTAGAACATTTTTGTAATTAACTGCTCGGCGTTACTTAGTACACGGGAGGAAAATGCATTCAGAGGTACGTGCAATATACGGCGACAGACAAAGGGACACAGTGCAATCTATACCGGAAAAATAACGAGGGGCCGAACATATCGCGAGCTGGGTGGAGGTCGAGCGCGGGCCCTGGGCCGCCGACTCATCTGGGAAAACGCGAAAGATTTGACAAGCTCCCGGCAGACGTGATAACTGCTCCGCCTCCGCGCTATACGGAGAGTAAGTACCACAAAACAAGAGGAAGAGAGAAGATAGATATGGCTCACATATATGAGGTGACCTGCCATTCGTTAGGGTGCCCAAAAACAATCTGGAACCAAAGGGGCCCTATCTGTCCGACCCTCTTGCTCTCGCTGAGTCGAAAGAGGTGGCGGAAGCGAGGATTGAAATACAGGTTGTGGACGACATAAGGCAGGTCCGACCCCACCATGCACGAACGCCGAGGGGTGCCATACGTGCCCGCCTCGTTCTGACCAAAAGCGTAGTTCTTGTAGGAACATCGGAGACGGAGGGATACAAGCAAAACATCTGTTACTCACGGGTTGGTAGTAATGCAGTCCCCGACAAGATAGGTTAGCTGAAGGGGCGTGGGTCAGACCATGACACGGTGCGTGCGATAATCGAACCCTCACCTCGTCGATCGGGTCGGAATATTTTCCCGCCAGTATCCCGCGCGTTGAATCTTTCGCCTGCCAGAAGGTGGGGTACGCGGTGTACCACCGTGCGGGGTGACTGTGGGCGAAATATTCTAATTCGGTCCTGCGGGACGTCGACGTGATGGCACGCGACCCGGACTGCAAAAGAAACTCACCATTGATCGGTTAAGACACCGTCCAAATTGAACCACACGGTAGCGACTTGGCGAAGGGAATGATCATCATCCTCGTAGAAATGGAGGTTGAAGGCATCGACGCGCGCAAGATACTTGATTGCGGTCCACAGCGATGCGGCCGCGAATGTTGGTATGTCCTCGCCACACGCGAACGCTCTATGTAGGGAAACGACAAACAATGGTAAAGTGGCAGAGGCACTGAAGGAACGGCGCACGCAGATCGAGTGAACCGGTTACGGAAGACAAACCAGGGAGTCTGGCTGGGAATCAAAGGGAGATTGAACGCGTGGCAGCTGCGACTCACGACATCGAGGTCACCAATACTTTCTCCGTCGCTAGAGTCGGCGTCGGACGGAGGGGACGGAGGCGCAGTAGAAGAGGCCATGATAGCCGAAAGGAAGGAGGAACAGCGCAGCGACACTCCGGAAATTAAGAAATTTGGTGTCCCCGAAGATGTTACCGAAATTTAAAGTTTCAGGGTCGGATCAACGGGCAGGGGCCGGGCCGGCCTTCCGGCCCTGAAACTTAAAGTTTAGGTAACATCTTCAGGAGCGCCGAAATTTCTTAATTTCCAGAGTGCGATAAGAATGTACCAGAAAAGATACATCGCGAAAATAGAAAGAAGAACAGAAGCCCGCACCAAAAATAAGCGCAATTCAACGCGAGCTTACGTTGAAATAAGGCAAAAGCAACGCATCGTCCTTCATCATCCCTGCGTGCACTGCCCCGGTTCTATCCGGTCTTCGAGGTCAACTCGTCTGCCAGACGGATTTGAACAGTGCCCACGCAGAGCTGGTTAGGGAACACCTCGGAGCTAGACATACACACACCGCGGAGACGCCACGATTAGCCACAGAGACGCAGTCTTCAAGGGACTTAGATACCTGGTGCCTTCCGTTGCTGCTAGGAGCTCCTTCCTTACGATTGCTACTACATCTTGACCTTATCTAAGACGTATTCCCATTACCATCGCGCGCATCCTGATCTCAAAGGAGGCAAAACCATTGCCCACGAAGGATTGGGATCGACGAGACCTACAAAATCCATCACCGGGAACACCCGAGCAAATTCAACCGTGATGTTTATCCGAGTTTACAGCGCTCAAACGCGTCAACAGGTCACGTGCACTCGCCGTTGTCTACACCGTTTATCCGCGCAACTTCATACTCCACTTCATACTGGATACGGAGCGCAGCCTCGTCCTTTGAAATTGATTAACCCTATATTTATTATTCCACGTGCATCATGCTAACCGGTTCTATTCTCCACTTCAATTGCCGGCCCCAACACATCGGCGTCGCCGGTGGCGCCGCGAGTTGCGGGGTGAGGCGCACACCAGGGCGTGCAGGGCAAAGTAGGCAGCGCGGGGTCGGGCAAGTCTGCGGAATACCAGGACCGCGGCGAAGCCGGGACAAGAGGCAGAGCATCGGTGGTCGACGAGGGTGTGTAGTAGGGTTAACCACCGTTTGTTACGCGACTCCAGCTGATGAACTCGCACCATGGACAACAGGTTGGCGGCCGTGAAGTAGCGGTAACTGGACACCAATTCTCCAATAGGTGGAGATACGATAATAACGAGCTCTCCTCGAGCGAAGGCAGCGGGATGGTGCGGAACGAAGGAACCCGTTGAACACGAGACAAACTTGTAGCGAAGGGTTAAGTGCGAGGAGCAAATATATTCTTGCCCGTCCATCAATGTGTCGGAACTGACGCGCCGCGGCAGGGGATTCAGGGATGCAACCGCGGTTCGATACAAAACAATATCTTTGACACGTATCAGCTACATGTAAAAGCACAGCACAGAGGTGAGAACACACCTCGCTCCCGCCGATACGCAGGACGCAATGGGTTATGCAAACGTGAGACTATCGCGTCAGGGTCAACAGTTAGGAACAGCGAAAAAAAGTATTCACTAGGGTCCGCGGTTTGTCCCGACAAGGTGACCGAGCAATCGAGAACTAAATCGCAAATCATTAAGCAGGTTTGCCTACGCAACCAAGGTTTGCACCGACCCGAGGGACTGGACGAAAACTGGAGCTTTACCATGGAAAGGGGGCAAAATCAAAGGGCTATCGAGAGGCTGCGACTTATAAATGTATCACGAATAGCGATTGGTAATAGGATAATCGCTGCATACGACGATATGTAAGCTTTCGACCGGATTCGGGTCCGGTATCCGCCGACTTGCATCGAGGCATTGGACAAGACTTTCTACAGGCAAGCGAACCGTGACAGAGGGGCGTCAAGGTCCGGAAGAACAGGGAAACAAAGCAACCGAGCTGTCCGATGGGATGGAGCATAGCGGATGAAGGCCCTTGTAGTCAATGAGAAACAACGACCGTGCAAGCCTCACTTTACGCACATCGCGATTAAATTCGAGGCCGATTTTATGCAAATGAGCCAAAAGGTGACCGTTGATGGCAGCCCTGAAAGCAACACGCAACGCAGACTCGATCAGGCGCTCGTGTCCAAGGGACATGTACTCGTTAGCTATCTGTCGAAGGTCGATTTCATGACCGCAGATTGTGTCAGGAGACGCGCCAACGGCTTTGCACACCCAAACAGAGGACGACACAGGATCGATACAAGGGGAGACCGACGAGCTCTTCTCCGCACCGGCTTGATCCTTGAAACTTGGTGAGACAGTGGGCAGCTTTTGCAGCGCACAGTACTTACACGATCAACGTAGCACATTAAATTGGCCATGACACTGTCGGACACAGTGCAACTGCGACGTGTGGAACGTGCTGCAAATTTGAGACGAACCAATCTTGAAGAAACGGCAGCGCTCGGTCAGGCGCGGTTTTTTCAAAGAACGAGGCGAAACAGAGCGAGCATGATCACGCGTCCTCCGCATAGACTCCGCGTTGCTGGTTCGTTTCAAAGCTAGGCGTTCCTCTCGGGGCAGCAGCGCTCCTAAACAAGACAGGCTTTAGAATATTGAAGAGTGTTTCGCTCGGTTGCGCACCGTCACCTTTGACTCGCCTCGCATCAACACACTGACAGTCAGAGCCAAATTTCAGAGCCCTATTCCCTGCAGCGTCGAGACAGCCGAGCGTGCAGCGGCGAGCGGAGCCGACAATGCGGATACCTGTGCACATTTAACAACAGTTACTTGCAAAAGCGCAACTAAATTCACATGAACATCCCTCTCCGAATTTGACTGCGGCG